TTTATTTATATTATTTATATTACTTATTATTTATATTATAAAAATGCATGTGTATGTATAATGTATTTTTTAAAAATTATTAGTATCTCAGTTGTGACTGGGGGATAAATTTCACCTTTTTGCACCAGCCTGCAGTTTATATAAACTTGATTCCTTAAAGTTGTATACTCTAGGTATATGAAGCACATTTCACGTCATCTGAAAAACTTGCTTTTCTGTTACATAATCTTGAGCAGTGCGCCTTTCAGAACGTACAGTGGGAGGCTGCAGTTTCTTTGAACTCGCTGTTCTCAGTTGTAGTTGAGGTTTGTTTCCATATGCTTGCATCTTCGTAACTGGATTTTTATACCTAATACTGGGGAAAGATTATTGAACCCAGTCAGTTCACACTTAGCCTCTGAGAAGGTGGCAGGCTTGATTTTAAAAAAATAAATCTGTGATTTACTTCTGCTTCTCCATACAAGGTAAGGTTTGTCTTTTTGTACCAATAAGTAGGTGAAAAGGGTATCACAGTCACCTTGTACTACTGAAGAGCAGTCTAGATCAACAGGTGAATACAATGGTAAGAAGTCGTGATCTACGTTTATAAGCTGGAGGAGTAAGAAAGTGCTATTAGGATAGCACACTTTTTTCATATTTTAAGCTGGATGATTTCCTCCTTTTTATTTTAAAGGCCTAGAAACAAGACATATGGATCCCTTAATAAAAGGCTGAACTAGCTAAACTTTTGGTTTCCTTAATATTCCTGTCTTTCTCTGAGTGTTTTAAGATTTATGCATAAAAAGATAGCTGTATGGAGAGTGACTGAGTGGTGGCCTGTGACCTCTGTCTTCCTAGTGCAGGAAGCCATATGTCAATTTGGGGGCATCTCCATGGGGCTGTTTACAGAAATATAAAATTAGAGTAAAGAAGCTGATCCTATACATCCAAAATACCAAAGAATACTAAGCGCAGGGTCTCATTTGTAGCAGCGTTTAGGAAAGGCAGAAGATTTCTAATGTACAATACAGCATCTTCTAACATGCACTGGCTTCTGCCTGTATTACCTAATAACTCGGGGACCAGATGGAATTGTTTTCTGGGTTAGATTTGACCATCAGTTGCCATTTGGATCACTCTGGGTTTCCGTATGCAGTTTTATTCCCTAAGTTAATTCAGGAACTGATGGCCCACATCAAAAGGCCTTTTTTTGGCTAAAAATGTTGTATGTCAGTTTTTTTTTTCTGGGTTCAGTTTAAAATGGGAAGGGGAGATAAACTTGGCCAGTGATGCAAAGGATCCTAGGTTGAATAGAAATAAGTAAAACTTTTTTAAAGTTGGAAACCTCTGGAAAATGCTCTGAGGCTCTGAATTTCTTTATTTTGCTTTATGAAAATCTTGGCCTGATACCGATTATGTTACTTTCAAGAAATGTATTTTTAATTCTTCTGTTGTCTTCTTACCACGTTTATCATATTTGCTGACTACCAAGCTTACATACAATCTCAACTGACATTAACTTTTTGTTTTGTAAGAACTTCACCATCTATCTGCATTAAATGCTGTGGTCTTAACTTTTGAGCTGAGTCTTAAGCAAAGAATTATCTACAAGTCTCCTTTTTATGCTATTCCTCCCTTCCTTGGAATTCATTGCCTATAAAACCTGTTAAAAACAAGGAAAAATACAAATTGTTTGTAGTTGTTAGCATTTAGGACTAATCTAAGTTATCCTTGGAAAACGCCATAAACCCGCTATTTCCTTTCAAAAAACAAACTATAGCAGGAGGTAGTCTTGGGTAATGAAGCCTACAAAACATACAGGTATAGCCAACGTTGTTCTGAGGTTGAGAGGCCACTCATGGACTGTGTGGGAAATAAAACTTCTTCAGACCAGCCAGTGATTACTCAAACCCAGATGAACGGGGCTGGAAGGAAGGTAGGAAGCGTAGGTACTGCTAGAGGAGTGTTGTAGGAAGGAGAAGCGGAGAATCAGGTGTGTCAAAAGGTTGCAGGAGGAAAAAGTATGTGTGTGTAGATGAATTTGGGAGTTCTGGTGCTCCAGGATATTCCTTTGAGAACTTCGTCTTAAACCACTGAAACATGAAATAACATCAAGGACTTCTAAAAGTGCCTGGGTTGTACACTTTTTCTAAACCAGGAGGACAACTTTTCTAGAATTATAAAAAAGGGAAATAAGAAATTGTTTGGTAGATAGTTGGTATGATGGCAGACAGTGTATTAATTATAAGTATTATGAAAGGTGCTTGGAAATTTGGTTTTGCCAAAAGTAACAGTGTGGAAATGATTGACATACTGCTCCAAATTAATTGCATTTTTCTTTTGTATACTTTTTTTTTTTCCAGAAGAAAAGCTACAAAATGAAAAAGTTTCAAAAGAGATGAATGAATTTATCAACAAAGAACAAAACAGTAACTCAGCATCACAGGAGGCAAAAGAACTTGAAGCAGATACGGTTCATGAAAAGAAAAGATCTCCAAATGCAATCGCACCTGATATAGAACTCAAAAAAGAGGGTAAAGAGAGGACAGGAAGGAGTGGGTCAAGAAGCTCTAGCAGCGGTAGCACTAGCAGCAATAGCAGAAGCAGTAGCAGTAGCAGCACTGTATCTAGTTCATCCTATAGCACTAGCTCAGGTAGTAGTCGCAGCTCTTCGCGTTCTTCTTCTCCTAAAAGGAAGAAGAGACACAGTCGCAGTAGGACGCCTTCACATAAAGTTAGGCGCAGCAGAAGCAGGAGTTACTCCCACAGAAATAGGAGAGAGAGGAGTAGGAGCAGGGAGAAGATGAGGGAAAGGAGAAGATCTAGTAGAAATCGCAGTGCTGAAAGAGGGGAGAGGCGAAGAAATCGGAGTCCTTCGAGAGAGAGAAGCTGGGATAGACGTAGAAGTAGTAGCCGTTCAAGAGACAGGCGAGCTAACCGTGCGAGCCGCAGCAGAAGCAGGGATAGACGTAAAACCGAAGACCAGCGTAGAAGCCCTACTGGAAATAGGCACAAACATAAAAGTGAGGGTAAAGATCAAGAAAGGAAGAAGGAGCAGGGCGGAGGTGTAGATAAAGACAGGAAAAAGAACAGAGAAAGGGAGAGAGATCAGGAAAAAAGAAAAGATAAGCCCAAAAAAGAGGATAAAGAAAGTAAGGCTGGCAATCATGACGACAGTAGATTAAAGAGAAAAAGAGACAGCGAAAGAACTTTCTCTCGTGGTGATTCAATATGTGTAAAAATAATCAGACAGGATTCCAGACAAGAAAGCAAAAAAATTTCTACCAAAGATAGCAAAAAACGGTCAGGCTCCGAATCTAGTGTGAGGAGTAGTTCTGAATCACCAGGAAGCAGTAAAGAAAAGAAGGCTAAGAAATCGAAGCATATTCGGTCATGCTCCATGGAGAAATCTCAAAGGTCTGGTAAGAAGGCAAGCCGCAAACACAAGTCTAAGTCACGATCAAGGTAGTATACTTTTTAAGTATTTTGTCTGACTTTTTTTTTTTTTTTTGATATTCGTCTTCATGTGTACGGCATATGAACTTTTTTTTAATAAAGTATGGTATTTATTAAATTTTTTGTCTTAGGCAAAAGTAACTTTGGAAAATCTTTTAAAACTATTAATTACTAAGCCTAAAGTGTGTGTGGGTTTGGGGGTCTTTTATTTTTTCCAATTAACTTTTTCCCCCTTTTCCTTTATTTTTCAGATCAACGACTCCTCTTCGTCGTAAACGCTGAGGAATTTATGGCACCAGTGCTATGACGTTTAAAAATTCCATGAGTTATAAAAGGCTTGTCTCATTATAGAGGCACATTGTGGCTATGTAGGTGAAACCAGAATCCTTTTTTTATCTGTAAATAGGTGTATTTTTTCCAAATGCTGCTCAGAATTAAATACCTAATAGGATTTCTTTGTATTACATTTTTTCAAGAACGGTAGTGCTTATTAAGAATATCAAACAGGCCATTCTCTTTCAGCTGTAATGTTCTTAAAATTACTATTGAATGTACTGTGATGTCAATAAAGCTCTTTAGTTCATTTTTTGTTTAAAATTCTTGCACCCGAATTTTGTGTTAAATTGTGGAAAGAACTTTCTAAAAAAAAAAAAAAAAAAAAAAAAAGAAAGAAAAAGGCAGCTTTTTTGGGTATAACATATTTTTGAAGTACTTGAAAAAGATTTTAACGTAAAACACTTGTCAAAATATGTAATCCATGGACATGATGAGATTATTGGGGGTGTGTGGAAGAAGAAAGAAAAGACATCTTATTTTTTCTTTAGATATGTGTAATAGATTTTTAATAACCTTTTTATTTGGACTAGCAAGTAATATATGCTGTGTGTGTAAAATATGAGTCACTGTAATACAAGCTATACTTAAACAGACTGAACCCTATTAGGAATATGTGCGACTAACTGATCTTGTGTGACAGTGTTAAGCTCTGGAACTATATTCCTCACCCAGTTTTCACAGAGAACTTTCTGGATGTTCAGGGGTATTACAGGAACAAGACTCAGTATTTTAGATGTTTTTATGGAATAGATTTATAAATGGCACTCAGTACACATTAGAAAACTGACAATAGGTTAACTTTACATTTTGGCACATCCATTACATGTGTAGTAAACATTAAAGCTGGTTATTTTTGTTAGTGTTTTGAGAATTGTGATTCCTGTAAATCTAATACATGGATTAGACAGCAGTGTAACTAAATTTTTTGTTTTAATATCACCATAAAGTGAAAGAGGTCACTGATTACCTCCTTCTTCAGGAAATGAACTATTGCTGTTAGTAACAAGAGTGTGAAATAATACTTAAAAAAACCCAAAACCAAAAACAAACAAAAAACCCCACACACACAACAATACACAACCCTAGGCCAGTGACTGTTACAGAAGAACATTAATTCAGGAAGAGATTGGAGATCTGTGCCTAGAAGGTCTGGTACAATACCGATTGTGAAAAAGATAAAAGGCTTAACATCAAAGTAAGATCTCTTTGATGGCTGTATCTTCTAAGAAAAAAATATACTAGTACAGGCAACTTGCAAAGCATGTCTTCATGAACAGATTAATCCATTTAACTAAAATTAGAATTCAGCTATGCAGCATTTTTGCCAGTGTAATTTTTTTCATAAATTAGATGCAGAAGTAAACTGCTTCAGTGCAAAAAATAACATTTTAACTATACGTTTATTAAGCAAGCTCGTGGCTGGTGAATACATGCATGTTTATCAAAACACTGTTATAGATAAATAATTAGTTAATCAGTTATAAATAACATACCCCCCCAATTAAGTCCTTTTACATAGAGTAAGCAGTCATACCTGTTAGCAAAATAAGGCATAATTTGCAACACACTAATTTTACTTGCATTGGTATGGATATAAATAATGACATGTTGATCCAATCTCAGTACACTATTGGTTCTTGGTAAAAGTGAGGATTTTTTGAAAAGTAGGTAGCATAACAGTTCAGATGTCTTAGAAGGATGTCTTTTGAGAGAGAGAGAAAGAAACTAGAATTAAGTTTAAGAAAAGCTATTGAGGAATACAGTTTCCATGATGCATTGAATTTGATTTTCAGTTCAGATTTTATATTCTCTGTCTAATAATAAAAAATATTGTGTATGAAAAGCTTTATATACTCTGCCAACAACTGGAATTCTGCCACTTCCTGTAAATATGAAAATTATTTTTTTGACACAAATGCACTTATATGGGTAGTGACTGTATGCCAATAAAAAGAGCATACGATCTCTGTATTTAACTGTTTCAGAAATCTTACTAAACAGCATACTCAGCACACCAGTAATTAAAAATGCATCGGTACTATGTCAGCTTCACATACATTAGACTTCTTCGTGTTTTAGTAGCTCCCTTATGAATGTTTTTCAATGGTAAAGGCTAAAATAACATCCAGTCTTTAATTCCATACATCTGAAGTGATCTTAAATTAAAACATGTGCAAATACATACAAAATGGGAATGTATCATTTTAGAAAAGTCTAAATTGGGTTGTTGCTCTATTCTTTTGCATTTTAAAATAAACACTGCAAAAATATTTCAGTGCACTGCAGGAGAGCAAGACATACACTTCTGAATGTCATGCAGCAACATGGCATTTGGAGGCAGTTCCCGTGAAAATTTTTTTTAATAAAAAAGGGATGGTGTGGAATCAAGTGAAAAATGGTTTCCATGCAAACTGTTTTGAAGATGAATACCACAAAACCAATGTGAGTATGTACCCCAAGGTACCCGTTAACGCCATCTAAGAACAGAAACCGGCTCGCTCTCTCCGGATTTTGCGTTTGCTTTGCTAAATAAATGAAAAGTAATAATTAATTTGCATAAGTAATACGCAGAAGCACACTCTGAAGGAAGGCTTAGTTTTGTGTCTTAAGGAGATCATGTGTCTTAGCATAAAGGATTTCTTTGAGCTCTGTTTTTTCAGTAGCTCTGAGGTGTTACGAACGACTCGTAAGTCCACTGCACCCTGAGCTTTGCTGGGTGGGAAGTAGGTGAGTAGAGAAGCGGCGCACATACACGCTAAGCAGGTTTGCCATATATTTAATTGCTACGGAGACAAGCTTCTTTGAGACCTTTCAGAAGTCCTTATTTAGCTTTTTAAAAAAAAAAAAAAATCCAAACTTTAACTACTAGATGAATTATACTGTATTTACAGGAGACCTGCAAACAGGCAGATTTCAAGCAGTACGGGTTGTAGCACCGAGCAAGGTCAGTTAATAAAACAGACTTGGCATTAGATAGAGGGAAGAGTGAGTCAAACCATGACTGACAAACTACTACTACTACAAACCTCCTGCTGCCTGGAGGGTGCTCCTGCCCCGGGCTCCGGGCAGGCCGTGCCTCCCGCCTGCGGATGCCAGTGTCCGCACGGCCGCGCAGGGACCCGAAAAGCACGGGAGCAGTGCCAGCTGCCGCTGTCATGGCTCACCCCTGCCTGGCCCTGCACCGCTCCCTTCCAGCCACCTCTGGTTTTCATGGGTCTTTCTCACGAGACCTGCAGCTCCATACAGTGTCAGAAAACAATTATTTTTAAAAACTGGCTTAATTTTTTACCATTTAAGCGTCTTAAACTAGCTCACTGCGGGGATCTGAGGAAGAAGAGCTCCCCGTGTCTGTCACCTCTGAACGGCCAGAGCTGCTTGCAGCGGCGTGTGGATTCAAACCCCTTGACAGAGCCTCGGCGCAGGGCCCTGGGCTGCAGTGCCTGGGCGAGGGAGCATGGAAGGCAGCCCTGTCCCTCCTGGGCCGCAGCCCGGACTTCGCCTGCAAACCATGGCACGGCAGCCTCTGCAACAGGCAGCAAACCAGCTTGGACGGTTCCCAAGAGGAATCGCTCAGGAGTTTTGTCTCAAGCCCGGCCATCTTGAGGGCCGCAGAGCTCCGCGCCATGCTGCAGATGCGTAGTGCAGGCTGCTGGGTATCGCTTCTCTCCCGTGCCTCCCCTCTCCCAGAAGTGAGGAGTCTTGTAATTTGTGCCCTCCCCTGCAAGTCCGGTGTGCTACTTGCTAATAAAAGAGACTGGAAGCAGATAGTTAACACAGAACAAGCCTCTGCTAAAGGAGTGTTTTCTTGTTCCAAGACATGCAAGGATCAGGTGCACGTGCAGGAGTCAGGGGGCATAAATTCAGGTAAAATCACTGTGTTAATTTTCATCAGAGCTTCCAGGTGCAGCCATGGCGACAGGTGCCACGGTGCACCCGTGGGACAATGCGGGCTGGCAGGTGCGCAGGCCGGGGCTTGCAGGCAGGAAGGGTGCCAAGCCGGCTCCGTCAGCAGCCTTACAGTGCGAAATGGGTCGGGACACGGCAGTGCTTTGCTGCTGTGAAGGGAAAGGTAAATAAAGCAGTTTTTCCTGCTTGTTGTACCACATCTTCTCAAGCTGGAATCTTTTTTTTTTTTAAAAAACAGGCTTGAACAAGTGCTTGTAATGGTCTGTCCAGCGTTCTGTTTTGCTTCCCTTGCATTTTATAGAACAAATATTCATAAAATTTTAATAATATTCTAAGTATCTGTAAATAGATTTTATAAAACATTCTAAACGGCGGCGTTGCC